GAGTCTGTGACGCTTGTTTCCCTACGACTATTAAACGACAGGGCTTTGAAAAGATTAGTTTTAACCCTTTGTAGCCTAAGCTATCTTCATCCCACTTCCAATTTCTCAAGGTTACAATAACCATGGACTTTCTTATACATTCAGTAGCGGACGAGRTATTAAAATGTCCTCTCAGAGGAATCATTTAATGTGAATATTTTAAACAGCTTTCTCCTTTACAGTCACTTTGATCTTAAAAACTAGACGTTTTTGTCTTGTCTGAACGCCTAGTCAGGTCAAATCTATCGCCACTCACTTTTCTCAACCAGTAAAATTGGCATCAATGAAATGTTATTGATGAGCTGACGTGAGCAGGGATATCAAATTCGCTCTGACAGCGTACAAAGAAAGACCGAAGGAGCTCTGTATTTGGTACAAGAACAATGTGTCAGTTAGAGGCCTTAATTCGATTATCTACCTCAATATCCTAGTAGTAAACTTAGAACATGTCTCTATGAGAGCTCTCAAGGCTCTCCGTGATCTATAAGGAGTCTYTAAGGCCTTAAAGATTTCAAAATGGCGATCGTGACAGCGAAGAAACGGTTTGCGTTGAGCAATCTTGAAATTCTCTCGCTGGAAATAATCGTGCTGTTTTGTGTTCTCTTAGTCGGTAAGACCATATCCTATTTGAATCATTTCTAATTKCCTTTGTATGTATTTATAAACATAGATTCTACAGGGGGAATACCTAATCATATTAWCTGCTAGTGACGTAGTGTAGGAGTGTTTAACACGCGTTATGCTTATTTGATTTGTTTTCTTACAGACTCGGCCAATCAGACTACAACCACATCAACCCCGACAACTAAACGAGGTAAGATGACGTTTTAATCGTCTTAACACTGAGTGAAAATCGTGTTTTACATCGATAATACTGGTAGACATAAAGACCAAATATTTSGGCATTTGATATCAGGGCACATTCTCCATGGGGTACTGTTTCAACCACCGGAAACGAGAACTTCATAATGACTAATTACAGCAGACACGTTTCCGTTTTGAACTTTTTTCGTTTCAAAGTTTAAATTTCTTTAAAGGAGCAGCTTTCTTTAGAAAAATTGTTTTAAAATGAAAGCTTTTGCTCAACCAGTTGAGGGTTTCTCTTATTTATAATGTTGAACATAAATGTTGACAATTTTCCGCGATTTTTCTGTTTATTTTTGATATATTACTTCTACCCCCTACCTCCTAATGCGGCATTGTTGTTGACTATTCTAGTCATCAACATACTGTTACAACAGCAGCGCGTAATGGAGAATGGAAGGGGAGGGAAGGGGTATTTGTTGCTACACATAAAACATTGTAGTTCCAGACCTCAATTTTTTTGTATAACATGAATTCTCTCTTATATTTCTGCATTAGACATGAATTTACTACAGTTCGTCGACTGGCCCAAAATGCAGAGAAGTTTCATCGCTTGGCCAGCGTCACATTCYATTCGCCTGCGTTGTCAAGCAACAGGAGCAAAGCCAATCAAATACCGCTGGCTYAAAGATGGCAAAAAGATGAAACCAAGACGATTAGACCCTTAYATGAATGAYACTTTATGGTATTTTAAATTGAAAGATCTTGTGCCAAGCGATAATGGAAAATACACCTGYATTGTATCGAACAAGTATGGGTCTATCAACCACACCTACACCCTCCACGTTGTTGGTAAGAGATTTGATAAATCTTTATAATATCTTTACAGACAAGATTGTTTTCTATCTTCATCTKATGAACAAAACGAATAAATGTCCTCTATTTCCACAGCAAAGCCCCGATCACCACCAATTTTACAACCAAACCTTCCCAGAAACACCAGCGTYCAACTAGGAAAACATGCAGTGATGCGGTGCATCGTTGTGGTCAGCGGAACTCTACCTGACTTYAGATGGCTTAAATGGCATAAAATTCCAAAGTCRTACAAAARAGTGAATCTCAGCCAWCACGATAAGTCATTGGCTACTCTGATTAGCCCTATTCATTACAAGACAATTAAGGCCGGAGAACATTTTGGCGTGAAGTTGACTGTTGCTAATGTGACGAAAAAGGATTTGGGAATGTACACTTGCTGTGCCAGCAATCATATTGGCATGAGGTGTAACAGTGCATTTTTGATTGAAAAGGTTATACCAACAACGAAGCCAGATCATATAGGTAAGTAATACATTTTGAGTAATAGAGATTACAACTGATAGGACTCTACAAAGTAACACAGTACAAACATCCAACCACACTCACCATATCTTGTACATCATACGCAATGCATTGTAGGATATGTTTGGGACAAAACATGGCGGATTTCTTGTTTTCTCGAGAAACTGATCCCAGAATGCATTGTAAGCAAAAAGTGACGTAAAAGGTTCAGAAGTATATTATGAAATCGAGCAAAACAAGAAAATTGATACAACTACAGCGCAAAGCAACTAATCTAACGCACCTACAATGGCTTATAAATTAGTAAACAAAATTGTGTTTCTAAAAATTACGATTCCATTTCTTCACTTTCTAAGTAATTATAATATCTTAAATTAGCTTAGTTTGTACCATTAAACAATTATTAAACATTATTAGTGAATATTATTAAACATTATATRTTTTCCCTCAGTAGCAGCGTCAAGAACAAACCCACCAATACCATTTGCCAACGTCACGGATCCCAGACAAATTACCATCCAAAAACCACCMAAACCATCGACCTTRAATATAAARTTGATCGCGATTCTTGCGAGTATGGTATCCCTACTGGTCGTTATWTTAGTGACAGCCTCKATTATAAGATGTCGCATCAAAGCTGGKAAAAACAATAACAAAGGCAACAAACCCTCGGAGATYCATCTCCCCGATGTGCCTTTTCTACCYCCGTCGTCAACACTAATATCGGAGCCTAACACACCGACACACTCCGAGTTGTCTAGYAGGATGTTTCAGTTTCCTATCGTACGATCTAGAATTAATTCCTCTAGYTCAGGCAACTCTGCGACACCGTTGATACGTASAAATGGGAGTTAYAGATCGAGGTTCTCATCAGGAGTTTCATCAGCGCGTTTGGATTCTAATATTACAGAAGGTAAGAACTTCTTTGCGAAACAGGATTATATAATTAAGATTGTACATTTCTAATAAGCCCAGTCAAAACGTAAAAAAGGTTGAATGTGTCGCCATCTTTGTCATCATCATCATCATTATATCATGAGTTTGCTATTCATAATACTATTTAATTACAAATGCACACACAGTGTGCCTTGGAGAGCGACTTTCAGGCCTTGATGCGTTTTTGTACTGCGTTTTGGTACCTGGTAGTGGTAGTGAGAGGGTACAGTTAAAAAAGCCAGTCAAGACATAAAAAATGCTTGAATATGTTGCCATCTTTATCATCATCCTTATAATCATCAATTGACTAAGATAAAGTTACGCCATACAATGGTTTGTCTCGAGATACTATTAATACCTTTTCATTATCTATTTATCAGTGATTTTTATTGATCATTTATCTTTTCATCTATTAAGATTATTACGAATTACCGCTGGACGAAGAGTGGGAAATCGACCGAAGTCAAATAACTATCAAAGAACAACTGGGTGAAGGCGCTTTTGGACTTGTGATGAAAGCAGAGGCTGTTGGGATACAAGATCATCCGAGTGTATGTACTGTCGCGGTGAAAATGCTCAAAGGTTAGACACTTCTAACAACAACCTTGATTGGTTGAAAACTATAAGCATTATCATAAGGTTATAAATAACGTACGCTATGATTGACTAGTTTGCAAATTGCCATAATTAGAGAACTAAGGAGCGATCCTATTGACTAAAGGTTCGATTATAATAAAATCTTTAAAAACAGTTGTGTAGAAAGATAAATTTAACACCGTAAAAAGTAGGTGCAACAACTTACTGACGTTTCGGAAACTAGGCTAAGTTTTAGTTTATATAACGAGAGGAGCAAATGAGTAGACCAATAAGAGCAAGGCATAATATCTTTAATACTGATTGTTTGGTTCGTTATTTGTTTAGCCGATGCAACAGAGAATGAATTGGCAGATCTCCTGTCTGAAATGGATACAATGAAAACSATAGGAAGACACAATAACATCATCAACTTGTTAGGAGCTTGCACACAAAATGGTGAGAAAACGTTAACTACAATTGAAGGGGGTTCTATTTTGGTGAAACGTGTATTAGCCTACAATTGTAGTCGCACTAAAAGAGCTAAAGATGACTCTATCGCACTCCGAAGTGTTATATCTAGCATAATAAATCATAGAGATTGAAAATTTAAAAGATTAATAAGATTATCTTTATTGACTGTCTACATACCTTGGCAGTTGTATTTGTGAATAACAAAGCGAAACAATACTCATTTACTTATTTAATTTGGCCAGTGTCCGCTAATTTCATTTGAAAGTGTAAATTTTTGTTATCGAGGTTTTGCTTATATTTGGAAATATAAATATGCATCGTAATATAWGCAATAACTTAMTCTTTATTAYCCYTTWWWCTMTATGAATAGAGATAWTGTAAGATTTGACRTTAAAACCGATGGATRRAAAYAGATTMCGAATGGATATTTGAAGTCACCTCTTTATCCATATATGAAAAATCTAAAACACGACCGCATTGAATGCTGGTAGAYCACGTYCCTTTAAGTACCAGTTACTAAAATATTGACAACTYTCTCCCCAGGTCCCCTGTTCGTCATTGTCGAATTTGCTCCTTATGGCAACCTAAGACAGTTTCTCAGAGAAAGAAGACCGTCTGAGTAYCACAGATCACAGTCTGATTACTCGAACTCATCAGTRCAGCCATCTTTAACTATCAGAGATTTCATCTCGTTTTGTTTTCAAGTGTCGAGAGGAATGGAGTATTTGTCTGCTAAGAAGGTACGTTCTGCTGAACAAATGGGTCGTTTTGTGTATTTGAACGACAGTTATAAGTGTAGCAACGGAACTATCAATAGCCTAGTAGTGGTCCTACGGAGACTGGGTTGGGGAGTCTGGGGCAAATCTCTCTCCCCAATTTCCTTAGGAAGACCTGGCTAGAAAACGTCCAGTGATCACTGGACTATCACCGACATTATTACTATTATTATTTTTATCATCATCATTCATCATCACCATCATTGATCTCACCTTCATCTCTTTATATTGTAGTGTATTCATAGGGATTTAGCAGCCAGGAACATCTTGGTAGGCGAAGACTACGTCATGAAGATTGCAGACTTTGGCCTGGCAAGGAACATACGGGACATTGATTATTACAGAAAAGCTACAGATGTAAGTCTCTTTGTTTAAAAATAAATATAAATAGCTTAATAAGCAGTGTTTGTCTTGTCTATTTGTCAATAAGACATTGATGTTTAATATCAAATCATTATTTATCGACAGGGACGTTTACCTATTAAATGGCTCGCCATTGAGGCTCTGTTYGACCGAGTRTACACAACGCAAAGCGATATCTGGGCGTTTGGAATTCTATTATGGGAAATCTTTACGTTAGGTAAGAGCTAGTCCTAGTTACCCTGAGCAGTACATTTGTCCTGTTGCCTTCAATGCCATTTATTTTAACGTAAAAACAGAAACCGRTGTGTAAAAGGTCGTTATTCGAGTCCAAAGTTCGTGTTTTTTTTCTCCCTCATATCCAAAGTCCAAGATAAAAGGGATATAGTTTGCAAAGCACTTTAGAAACTCTCAAACTTRGTAAAGACTAAAAGAGTCTAAGTGTAGGATTAAATGAAGAGTAGTTTTAAGGGTCATAGTAAATCTACATCACTTACAAACTTTTGTTTATGTGTAAAAATAAAAAGAATACATCATAATGTAAGCAAAAACTTACTCTTTATCCCTTTATGCTATATAAATGGAGATATTGCAAGATTTTAACCTAAAACCGATAGCTGGAGACGGATTGTGAGGGATATTTGAAGTCACCTCATTTTCCATATATGGAAAATCTAAAACACGACCGCGTTTAATACCGGTTGACTAATTACTACGGTTTATGCTACGTAATTCGCGTATTTAAAATGATTGACAACTGTTATTGACGTCTATACTTGCAGGTGGTTCTCCATACCCTGGGATCCCTGTGGAAAAACTCTTCAATCTMCTTAAGTCAGGGTATCGGATGCAGATGCCTCAGAACTGCCCTGTTGAGCTGTAAGTATATCTTAGTCAAATAAAACAAGGCAGTCTTAACTGTGCAAACACTGAAATCGTGAATAAAGTACTAAATAGCGTAATATATAGTTTAGATTACACAATTATTTTGAGAGTGCAGTACAATATGATCAATTATGAACTTGTGTTACGTTGTTAACTGTTATTTCTATTTTTAGTTATGACATCATGTTAAAATGTTGGTGTGAGGATCCAAATCAACGACCAACATTCACCGAGCTGAAAGACGAGTTTGATAAGATGCTGTCGTCCATGTCAGACAAGGTAAACCTATCTATTGTTGTTTTTGTTTTGAGATCTGTCATGTCTCCATGCGAAAAAAAAGCGTCAGCTAATAAGGCAGTCCTTAATTCAAATTCATAAACTTTCTCATAGGACTACTTGGAGATCCTAGCCAAATCGATCGACGATATTGCAAATGAAATGGAAACAACKATCACAGACGAGTCCAGTTGCGGCACCCATCAAGAAGCCGAATGCGAAACGTTTGCAGAGTCAGTTTGCTAGAAGATATACCATATTGAATACCACCGTGGACACGMTWATCGTCGCCGCAATAATATTTGCGTTGCTAWKRYACATGCCGCAACTATGGTGATATCTGTTACTATGGCTCCGACGTTACTATGGCTACAACTCGTTACTGTGGTAATGTAAATTACTTGGGTCCTGGCGTTACTATGGTGATATCAACGTTGCTMTTGCGTCTTTCGTTACTATGGAAACATCAAGGTTACTATGGCATATGTCGTTACTATGGTAAAGTTTGCAATCATCAACTACAAAGAGCATCAAGACAAGGAGTCRATGCTCCCATGGGATATGTTAACTGAACCATCATGGGTCACAKAGACAGAAAATATGAAAATAGTATCAAAGGTATTCTGGATGGAAGCACCCAGGTTGATGGTATGATTTAAGCCACGAAATCTAAAGAATTGGAATGGCATTAACAGTTGATTTTTGATAATCAGAAGAAAGTACAATGGATCAGAGAAAAAGTGCTCTCTGTCACAAAAATGGAACGAYAATTTGATTGGAATTATTAGTCACATCATCAAAAACAATGGATTATGATTGATATTTTGAGTAATTCAATTAAGGAACAGCAGAATTGTGATCTACCAACGAAAAAACAATGAACACATTGAATTGAAGAGCTGAAAGACGTCAGTGAGAAAGCTTCTCGAACAATTGATCGCTCGAGTGTCCATTGAGGGGTCGGAGAAAACCTTCTCGAAGGAGTGATCACAATAATGTCTTTCTAAAATGCTGGCTGGTTATTACAAGAAAAAGGTTCTCGAATACTGACTTGATCGTCATGAGTGTGGGAAACCCCGATTAGTTTTTCTTAGGAAAACATTCTCGACACTTGATCAGAAAACGGACAATAACCCATTATTGAAAGGAAACATAAGCAGAGAACGTAATATATACACATAAGGCTCTTTGTGCYACGCTATTTTAATGAGCACGCCTAGAGCACTGAAACAGTTCATCATTTAAACGATGCATGTACAGTGAATTGATCGAATTTTACGGAATTTCACATTACTTCGTGTAAGAAGCTGCAATGTATAGCAACAAATATTTGAATGTGAAATGCATGGAATTTTCCAAACGGTTAGAAATTAACTTAAAGAGGATGTCTTTGTGGAAGACTTTCATTTAGAACTGTTGGCGACTTGTAGTCGCGAATCCTAGATAGTTAAAATTTAACTTTCAATATCTTGAAAAGAGATAATTSCTGTCCAAAAAGTCATCCTCTAAGGCGGTCTAGTTCACACAGTTATTGGAGTGAAAAGCCTAGATTAACCTAGCCTGCGTTGTCAGTGGTGTGCGGTTTAGYCCAGGGTGAAAAGAAACCGCAGACCGCAAGCAACGAATGCTCATATTCAGCCAATGATTACCAGATTGAGAAACCTACGGGAAGAAGTCCGTGTGAGATGTAAATTATATTCTAGTAGAGCGTTGTAAATATTTTCGAAAACTTCTGTTGTACTATATATATTAAATAGGCACGGCCCTCAATCACGTGATTTGTGTAAGTTGATCACGTGATTTGGCAATGCAACGCTATGCAATTGTACAGAATTATATTAGAATCAAAKAATGAGGAATAAAAAAAACAAGTATTTTTATTTTGTTTTGAGTTTATTGTTTAGTAGAGCGAGGGAATAGATCTCTGAAGCTTTTACGTCATATACCGTATTCACAATGCATTGAAGAATATGTTTGGGACAAAACATATTCTGCAGAAACTGATCCCACARTGCCTTGCAAATCAAGTAGGTGTCGTGAAAGGTTTAAAAGTTTATTATTTAGCCCGCCATGATTATGGGGATAGAGTGCAACCGCGAACATAAAGATTCGGTAGCATCTAATAGCGGAGCTCCATTAGCAATACAGAAGAAAATGATTGTCTGGTAGAGGTACGTTGAAGAATGTAAACACAATATCCTTTATTGAAACGCGAAAAAAATAACACAAACTATATTATATTTACGTCTAAAAGGTTATACAAAATGTAGTATTTTTATTAATTTGAATACTACTATTCTATGGGAAATGTTTTCCCTAGTCTAATCTACACTATATTTAGCTATTTGTACACCATATTGAATTGACCACTATTAGAGAGGCAAATGCTTTTTGTGCTTTTAGTCTTTGCACTCAAAATCCTTGAAAAAGTACTGACCAAATAGCGCGAAGCAGGGCGAYATAGAAATTTGCACAATCCATTMCTATTCAATAAAGTTCTTCATGGTTTTAGGTTTTGAACTCACCATGCTTTTAAGACTTTTAAAAATTCCTTAGCCGCCATTTTGAATATCCATAATACGATCAAGGTTGTTGTTCAAGAGATGAGTAAAGCTAATACAAGTGCATTTTGAACAGCGTTTKAAATTATGGTGTATAAAGGTTGACGCGACAGAAGACTCTTTAACTAACCAAGAAATACCTCGAGAAGTGTCTAGTCTATAGTGTTTCCTAAAAAAGACATGCATTTTATCTGCATCWACCACGTCAATATTAAAAAATACCACAAGTATGTTTCTCGTTTTTTGTTTTCGAATAGACTCAAGCGTGCACTACTTACACCTCTCAAAAAGTGAATTGCCTTTTGACTAATAACACTTCAAGAATTTCAATTTAACCCTTTCAAATACTTAGCGAAACACAATGTCTTTGTGTGCAGCCKYTTTGGCGGTTTTTGTATAAAAGTTWCASCAAATCCGYGGCTATTGGAGTTAAAATTCTTACKTGACCYGATAACTTGTTTAATGGGGTGATACATAGAACTGCAAAGCGTGAATRATAAAGAGTAATGAAGTGAGTTAAAGGGAATTTTACGTGCTCTCTCGTGAACATCAGATAATGACAARCATGAACAGAATGATTGGATTTATTCGCGTTGACTCTACACATGTRAAATTCGCCGTTTCCATCGATCGTGGATATGTAAAGTTTCTAGCGCGGGAGGAGCGTCGGTTCAGGAGAAGCACGCCCTGAAGTGGAGTCTTTTGACTATTCTCGAGTGTTTTGAAAAAAGCGAAGTGCTTCGTTCCATATCAMAGAAAGAAAGCTTTCAACTCATTTTATTGAGCACACCGCAAGATTAAGAATTRGTTCTCTTCAAGAGACGCGCATGCGCGTGCTGCGTTCTCTGATAATGCCTTGACCTCAACCAATCAGAGCGCTTTAACAAGTCTCTTTTTAATGACTACTATAAATCACAGATTGGGAGTCCAAAATTACAGAGTTTTACTGACTATTTATATAAAAAATTCACTTTATAATCGAAATAATCTACTTCGACAACACCTGTTTTTTAGGCTTTCGACTAAATCGATATCTTGCGTTAATTAAGTGCATATCGATCAGATAAATGTACACTTTGAAGACCAAYGCCGCAAAGTTCAAAGAAGTTTAAGCAGCATTGCTTTAAGCAACTCCACAATTACTTTCCATTCGCAATCTTGAGTTACAGACGTTGAATAATGATTCTTTACAAATGTGCTTTGCGATATTGTCAACAGTCTACTTTCGGGGGATTTCTCCATTTCTCAAAATTATGATAATGAGGAATATAAAAAGAGTRGTCCGTTCACACGGTGTGTACTTCATAGGGATGTTTTTCAATAGAAAACAATTATACAAACATGTATTTCCATAGCGATTTTTTGATCTTGTGATGAATTGCAATATGCAAAAAGGACATTAGCTGTAATTACTACAAGCATTTTATATATATCGTTGAGCACACAGCAATTTATAACCAATAGAAAGCGAGCTTTTGTAGCGTGGAATTTCAACCTTCGAAGTTTATAAGAACAACTGAATAGAGATATTAGGCTAGTAAACAAATCAATCCTAGTTAGACCGATCGTCTTACATCAGCCTATCTCTGAGTGCACAACAGCTTTTAGCCAATAGGAACCTTGTATGGAATCTCTACAGTTGACTTCTATATAACACATAGTACCATCGAATTGGATCGCAGAAGACGACTTATAAGGACGCAAGCTTGATTAACAGCTCAAAATTGGAAATAGAATTCTAGAGCTCAGTCTCTGATAGATGTACAAGCCATRTATAGCCAATAGGAAAATAGCCGGTGCTTTTAGAATCAYCAGCAGTTCAATTTTACGAGAACACAGCAGGACTGGACATTTTGACTGCAAATGCAGTAGAATTTGGCGAAAACGTATAGCAACAAAGTTAATTGAAGTCGAATTACCGCTAAAYAAGAAGATTAAAGAAGACATTTACTGAAGTAAGGTAAGATTGTGTGATATWAGTTATTCTTGCGCGCGTCTTTATTCTTCTTGAGAGCTTTTTTTGGCTTTGTTTCCTGTTTTACKGATAACTTAAACAATCTGTGGAATATTTATATGTTTAAGGTAAATTTTTAGCCCTTTTCTTGAGCGCTTTTGTTTATTTTTGTCCTCTTTTTTTAAGATATTCTTTTGCGCGCAATTGAACGTTCCTAAATCTCTTAGCAACAATGTTTCCAGAATATTCTATAAAGCCAAATAACGTTGAAATCTCATCAAAAGATGGTTTTTATAGTGAGAATACAACATGTACAAAACAAGAATAAACAATTGCTGGATGCAAATTAACCAATCAACATGTCATGTCATTAAACTTAATCCATGACCTTCTAAATTGGGTATAATTCATTCAGTCACAATTACAAAACGTTGACATGTTCAACTCATAGATCACTGAATTCTATAAAAACTCAGTAATTATTCGCATTGCAGTTATTCAAACTCGCTCAATGCTTCTTGATATCTATTATAATATGTAACGATCTTYTTTACAGCAATATGACATGCCCCCTGCAACCAAACGAGACGAAATGGCCGTTCACAGACAGACGTATGTCATATTGAAAAAAAAAAATTACAATCAGAGGTAGATTTCGATCTGCGAATTATATCAGTTTGATTGAAGATTAATTGCACGCTACTTTCATCCGAGCTCTTTGATGTTTTATTCGGGGTTTAATATATAGCGCGCTCTTACCTTGGACGCTTGATTACGCTAACAATCATTTCTTTACTTCCTTTTAACCTTGAAATATTGCAGCTCAGGTTAAAAGTTCGGTGCAATAAAGAAATATATTGCAATCAGATTGAAATTATAACATTTAAGAGCATTTTTACCATTTGGTATTTGATATTACAATCATTAGAATCTATTTATTTTTTTTTTTACGATAAAATGGCGACGTATAGATCGTAACCTCGGTGACGAGCTATAAAACATCAGTTTTTGGTGCATTTTTACGTAATCATAAAGAGTTTCTGTAATAATTATCATGCATAATTATAGTCCTACACTCTAGATTAAGCGATACAACGTTTGACAAATACTCTGTGTACAGAATACAGAGATAAAGTCATCCATTTTCATTTCCAGTTTCCTGTTTTGACTGTACTGTGATTTTAGAGTTACATGTTATAGTGTGGTCAGACTGTAAACTAAACTACTTTGAACACGGAACTAACCATGTCATTTTTGATGCTTAATGCATGAGTTTTTCATTTATTTATTCAGTTAGTCAGTCATCCAGTAATCCAGTCATTCATCCATATTTCATTCGTTTGTTCACTTAATCAATTGTTCATCAATTCATCCATTCTCTCATTTTTCCAACTCAATCATTCTTTCTATTTGATATATCTTTAAGTTTAGCCATATCTTTCGTTTAGCCATTTATCTTTCATCCGTTTGTTTATTTAATCATTTTCTCATTTTTTCATGCATTCGCTCATTTATCCAACTCAATAGTTCCTTCGTTTATTCATTTATCTTTCATCCGTTTGTTTATTTAATCAGTTATTCATCCATTCTTTCGTTTATCTTCTCATTCAGCCATTCAATGTGAATGTATGGCTGTCCATTTAAACTAAATGGAAGACCGCCGTGGAGAAACCCTTCCGTGCGAAAGGTCAATGACTAAATCCAGCAATGAAATACTACTTGCCCAGTCTTAAGTAATGTCTCTTGGTGGTAGCTAATAAATATTGCACCAGTCAGAGCACAGCAAGTGAACTAGTAATCAATTCGAGTAATATCACACCATGTTCTGGAAATCTATACAGTACAAATAATTATAGTTCCTTGTAAGGCGAGAATTTGCGGTACTTCTTGACTGTAGATAGCACCCATTACAGCAGGAGACTCGCTATTGTGTGCATGCGGTTCAAATAATTGTTTGTAGTGTCTATGCTAACGAAAAGTGACTGTACTGCAGTTAAAAATCAAAATTATAGCAATGACTTATCGCTAAATAGTTACACACGCTGAACMCTCTATGACAATATAGTCTCAAGGCGTGTGCAGGCTTTACAAYAGAGTCTACACCGACACTTATGAAATCCAACCTTTGCGGGAGACGGTAACCTTGAAACCAAAAAACCTTGAAATGTTAATCCAGACTAAGTAAGTCAGTAAGTTAATCGACAAGGCTTTACAAATATCCTAAATCCTTTGTGATAATAACCTGAATTTTACCAACAAGGAAGATGGAATATTTCATTGCGTTTTTTAGAAAACGGAAATGAAACTAAAAAGATGAGAAAATGAACAAAAAAGGAAAATAAATTAGCAGGGGTTTATCTCGKTTAATCAGCCGAAAGTACCATCCACTTGTGTGTTTCCACTTATGTTTAATGTCGAGTGAGTTVGATTCTTAAAACACTTGAATCGGTTAAAGAATTGTTTACCGGGGTTTTCCGATGAGCACGAACTACACAACAACTTAACAACGGAGATTATAAAGGTCTTCGGGTTGTTTTTCTATCCTTAAAGCGATAAATTTGGCCACCAAAGAGTGGGGATTACAACTTTTATTGACAAAGGTTAGTCTTGGGTGGGTTTTTACGCTTTTTTTCGGTTAAAAACTACTTTATCAAGGATGAGGCAGTATGTATGTCTGAGGTCAAATACCAAGAGTATGAAATATTGTTCACGTTGTTTACAAGGTGAAATATAATTAAATAGAAAAGCCACGAAGACAAAAAAGAGACAAATCAGTAAAAACACCAACATCGCAGCTGGACAAACAAATAGTATCCAAAATGAATTGTTCTTTTTTGTTTGGACAAGTATATTGCYTCAGCTGACATCAAATGAAACTAATCAATAGAAAAATTAATACGTCCTTGTGGGTGTCACCTCTCAASTTTAAAAATACAACTGTTCATAGGACTAATTTGTTTTTTTGTATTGACGCACGCCCTCGCTTTGACCGTGAAAAAAAATCCAAAACGTAACAACTAGCGRCTCTTTTGTAAGATTATAAGAATTCTCGGTTGTATYTAAACGTTTTTAGCGTTTAAGAGTCGTTATTTAGCATACAAAGTCGAGAAAAAATGAACGGTCGTGCGTCGTGTAATGAATTATTAGTCTTACTTACATCCTTTGACAATATGATTTATCACAAGAAGGCAATATTTGTAGAATTTTTATGTCTTAATTTTTTTTAAYGTGCACTTACT